AAAAGAAAAATATTTAAAAAATACAAAAACAACTGCAAAACGGCAAATTATCGGTAATTATGTTTGTAGTTTTTCAATATTTCCCTTTTAGCTAAAGTCTTGAAATTTCTACACCAAATAGCGTTTTTCAATAGCTTCAATTTGATATAAAGCCCAACGTTCAATGTTGAGTATTTCTGCTCATAACTCAGAAACGGTTGTCATATATGTATGAAGTCTTAATAGGAAAATTTAAAAAAAAGTTAAAAAAAAACCCGACCTGCCTGTACCCTACCTAAGTTTTTACAAGAAGAAATAGGAAACCCACATATTTTTTTGGCCCTTCCTGAGTACATTCCTACCTGACTATGTGACTACATGGCTACATGGCTACCTGTCTACATGGTTACTTGTTTTCGTGGCTACATGGCTACCTGATTTTGTGGCTACATGGCTACCTGACTACGTGGTTACCTGATTTTGTGGCTACGTGGCTACTTACATATAGAATTAAACCATAACATATAGTACTTGAAACTTTAGTTAAGACAAAAGGCTGCATATGCATTGCATATCAGTAGAGTTCCCCAGCAAATAATTTCATTACTAAAGATGCTGATTACATGGATAATCTCAGTCCAGCTTGAATTTCAACTCGGTTAACAAAGCTGAAATTGTTTCACAATTACATGGCAAGTTTCAGGCTGGGTTGTATTAATAACATTTCAAACCGGGGTGAAATCGCAGAAACGATATAATTATTATGGAACATGCTTTGTAACATGACACCCTGCCTGTATAAGAGGGATTTGAGCACAATCTCATTATTTCTGGACTGTACAATATTTTATTTACAATCGAAAATTTCTTTTTTTTTATCGTAGACATCATTGGTAGTGATGATACCCCTTATTGTGGTGGAATTTTTAAACTTGATATAAATATTCCAGAAAGGTATTGTAGTTTACAGTATTTGGGATATTTCCGTAAAATGGTTTTCTAATTTTATGATCACCTATATTCCTGATGAAAATAGTGCTGTACGGCAAATCTTGTTTTGTATTTTGTATTTTAGCAAATCTTTATATTAAGACTTTGTTTAGCTATTATATAGACATACTGTATATATATAACTCGCTAGTCTCACTATTATTTATAGTACTTTACTATACCTGCATACTGTACAGAAGCTCCATGCATGTTTTCTCGGCAATAATAGTAGCGATTAGCCTTTTGCATGGCCGATTTTCCCGCCATTTTTGCGGTACTGCCTCTCCCACGTTTGAGAGTCTCCGCACCACGAAGTGCGACTTTTTAGCATTATAATATTTAGCATTATAAATTATAATGGTAAATTGACTCTTTCTCGGCAGAATACAATAAGCATTTTGCGGATTGTTTTCCCCTAAAAATAAGTGAACACTCTTCCAGAAAATTGGAAACGCCCTGAATTACTAAAAACATGTTCCAGAGCACAGTGAGATATTCTATTTACTTAAAAAATGGACAAATACATCTCATGCGAGAAAAATGTCCACAAATGTAAAATCTCATAATATCCTATGCTAATAGTTTTGCCAAAAAAATTGACATGTTGCAAAAAAACCATAAAAGATCAATATTTTCAACAGGTTTGAGCATAATAAAACTACAGGAGATTTTGGTCATTTTTAAAGCAGTGATTACCATATTAATTGTTGGTTTGGATAAATCGACACCAATGTGAAAATACACTAAATAGTTCATTTTTCAAAGCAGTTGTCACCGATATGTCGAGACCACATTTCCACAAGGTTGATAAATTAGGAATATTTTGCAAACATATTAATTGTTGGTTTGGATAAATCCACGCCAATATGAAAAGGCACTAAATAGGTTATTTTTCAAAGCAGTTGTCACCGATATGTCGAGACCACATTTTCACATGGTTTATAAATTAGGAATATTTTGCAAACATATTAATTGTTGGTTTGGATAAATCCACGCCAATATGAAAAGGCACTAAATAGGTCATTTTTCAAAGCAGTTGTCACCGACATGTCGAGACCACATGCAGATAGATAGATAGATAGATGGATAGATAGATAGATAGATATTTTATTAAAAGCCACTTTGCAGCCACTTTGGCTGAATTACGTAGATTTTTACAATAGTATATAACTTTAAATATTAGACATGTTAGTCTACTCAATTATTATAATATATCATGGATGGCACAAAAGTGTTCCTAAAGCGGTTAGTGTTAGTCATTGGAAGATCATAGAGGCGTTTGTTTGTGTCTCCGATTAGTGATTAAGTGTCCCCGATTAGTGAAAGTTGATCTTTGGCTATAAGACATGACACTTTAATAAAGTAATCAATCAATCAATCAATTAAGTTATATTTCGCTTGGTGTTTTGGCGGCAGCAGTGCATGGAGTTTATGGTCACTGTCAGTTGATATTTTAAGGAAAAGCTTTTCACACAGTGTTTGTCTTCGGACCGATAAGGAGTTTAGTCCAGATTGCTGCAGGCTCTCTGAATATGGCTGCCCTCTGTAAATTATAGCCAAGGATCGTTTTTGTACTCGCTCAAGATCGTCAGACAAGTACTTTGGTAAAGAGTGTGGAATACCTGTGATGCGTATTCGAGAGTGGGTCTAATACAGGTACAATAAAAGTTAACAATATCTGCCTCAGGAATATCTGCCTCAGGAACATCTGCACGTTTGAGTTGGACCAAACAATACAGACGTTTGTTCGCTTTCTTAATGACATGGTCGATATGGAGGTTCCATTGCAATGAGTTCGAGACTATCAGGCCCAGAATTTTTACGTGATCCACTATTTTGAGTGGAACGTTGTCTACTCTAATTGGGTCAAACTCCTGATGAACACGCTTGAAGTCGATCCTCAGCTCCTTGCATTTTTCTGCGTTCAAGTGCAGTTTGTTGTCTGCTGACCATTTCTCAACAGACGTGGCAGCCGATTGAGTGTGGGTGAGGGAATTCTTTGGAATGATTTCCGAAATTGTCGTGTCGTCAACAAACTTCCACGTACTGATGCTGTTCACACGTAGGTCATTCACCATTAGAAGAAATAGCCAGGGGCCTAACTTGGTGCCTTGGGGTACTCCTGAGGGGACATATCTCCATGACGAAAGGGCGTCGGCAAGCTTCACTTTGATATCTGTTGGATAAAAACTCGGTTATCCAGGAGCACACCTTTCGGGGGTAATGACGTCAGGTTTTGAAGTTTTTTAATTAGGATGGAATGTCAACTAGGTCAAATGCCTTTTTATAATCAAAAAGAGTTACTCTGACTGTTGCGCCAGATTTGTCTGTAGCTTGGGACCATTCATGGATCATTGAGATTAGGGCAAGCACTGAAGAGGACTTTGGTATGGCCCCGTACTGATCCGGATCTAATGTATCCAATATAGCAGGCGCTATGTACTTTGCGATCACAAATTCTTCTGCAACTTTAGAGATTGATGGCGTCAAGGAGATCGGTCGCAAATGTTTGTTGACATCAGTGGCTGGTTTTACCTTCGGGACTGGGATGATGTCAGCATGTTTCCACATTGACGGTAATCTCTGTTCATCAAAGGAAGAATTGATAATATTACAGACTGGTTTTGCGAGTATCTCGGCATACGTTTTACACAACCAATTTGGGATACCATTTTTTTTTTTAATTTTATTTTCCCATGTACATTACAATTATTAATAAATAACTATTTGGGCTAGAGACCTACTAGAAACCTTTGCAGGCTTTTGTTTCTAGGCCACTAGTCATGTCGTATTTTATAGATTATTTTATTATTTACAGTAATTTTTAAGATAATATTAAATGCAGAAGAAAAGTTTTATAAGGTACATATATACAAGATATTTACAAATTTGAGGTATGAAGGGTAAATACTGTAGTGTTTACAATATTAAAATAAAGAGATATACTAGTTAGATTTTTATGTGGTATTATTTGCCCACGTTAAATTAATTAAACGCGTCCACGCCAAGTTAAAAAAGTAATTGGAACACAAATATATATGGCATGGACGCGTCCACGCCAAGTTAATAAGGTCATTGGAACATAAATAGCTATACAATATAACCTATATGTTTAAATATTTGTAATCCAGGCATATTATGATTTGTGAAAGTTCTTCGGATTGATAATGCTTTCGGTTCTGTCTATCTATTCACAATGTAACCAGTCACTGAAAAACCCTGATAGGGAGTGTGCTGTGCAATATCTGCAGTTCCTTCGACTTGACCTCGTAGCTCAGTTGGTAGAGCATTGAATGACTTGTATGCCAAAGTCGAGGGTTCGATTCCCACCGTGGTCAGGCAAACTTTTCAGCTTTGACCGGTGCAGATGCACACTCAGTAACACCACAAGCATCATATTCAACTCAGTACATAACACCAACACACACAAAAAGTGTCATTTTGGATGTTTATCAAAGCCGTGATAAGAGCTTTATTAAATGAATCCCCTGATGCCGGTTAACCGGGCCAGCTCGCCTCATATGAACAGACCCTTAGAAACAAGTTATTTTCTTCACAGATATCCTTTTCAACCTCCCAAAGTACAGTTCCTTACACCCATTTATCATCCAAATATTGACAATGCTGGACGGATTTGCCTTGATATATTGAAAATGCCACCAAAGGTATGGTCCAGCCAATTATTAGTGTGTGTCTTGTTGACATTCACCCATAGACTTTCCACAAATCGACTGAGTTCACTAGACTTTATATACAAACTAAGAAGGATTTTTGTTGTTTAGAAAGATTATGTATACTATTTAGTCTATTATTTTCTCACTTCCATTCTATATTTACTACCTACATACCACCATAAATCCATCATTCATTCCCACAGCAAAATAATGAAATAATCATTATGTGAAACTGTTATTCATTAAATATGTTTGATGCGAAACCAAGATTATTCATATTGAAAACTATAGACATTCTCTGGTTATAATATTTATTTTTTACAAGCTTTCGACTGTCAGTCTACAGTCTTCAACGGGTAGATCATAACCTACCCGCGTTTAAGACTGTAGACTGACAGTCGAAAGCTTGTAAAAAATAAATATTTATAACCAGAGAACGTCTATAGTTTTCTATATATGTTATTCATTACTCGATCCGCTCTCGAAAAATACTTGGCTGTGCAGCAATTCATAAACAGAAACACATAATTATTAAAAACATATCTTAAAACAACAATTAAAATCTACAGAATTTGAAAAACATTCAAAATATACTAACAAATACAGTTACTGTACTTGATTTTGACTATGATAAATTAAACCATTCATAAAGAAGTTTCAAGTTTTTCATAACAAAGGTATACTTTTGATTAACGGATATGATGTTACAGTAAGCTGGTTATTTCCTTAGGGTGGGTGGAAACCGTCATGGAATGTGTTGACAGTATTAAAATCAGTTCAATCTCTTATGGCAGAACCAAATCCCGACGATCCGTTAATGGCAGAAATAGTAAGTGGTACAGTTATGATGAATAATCTGAACATGATCAGAGGTTTAACAGAGCGTGGAAGATCGATCTGAGACGAGATCATCATATCTATAATATGTTAGTGTATGACTCTACAACCAGTTGCTTCCGCCTTAGGTGTGCATTAACTCCATGTTATGAAATTAGTTTTTCGAGTCGCGCAGTCATAGAGAGATACGTTTACTTTTAAATTACTATAACCAGTTCTTAAATTTAGAATAAGACGTTCTGCAAAATCACTGAACTTTTGTCTTCCGGAAGAATAGAATAGTTTCATTTTCCACTTCGTTGGAACAAATCTTGTTTCGAAACTTGTTTAATGATTTCCTGCTTCTTAATTGTTATAAATTAACTTGCAGTCTGAACAGTTCAAGTACCAAAGGGAAGAATTTAATACAACCGCTGAACGATGGACCAAAAAGCATGCAGTTTCAAATGTGGGAAATCCAACAACCGAACGCCAGGTATTATGCATACATTTCTTTGTCGTAAATTTATTGGGCTCGAATATTATAACTATGTGTGAATATCATAAACTGCGCTGAAAGACCTATTCTGTTTAAAAGGAACCGTTAAAATTCGAGGTGAATGACTCTGGATGCAGTAATTTGTCAACTGTAATAGAAAATAGAGCGTTAGTCGACACAACGAACAATGAAACAAACGTTCCTGTGTCAAAATGCCATGCAAGTAAAAGACTGGCGGAACACGATGGATTTCCTCGACCAACGAAAGTTGTTAAATACCAATGATTATGTAGAAATTATACTGTATGCATAGAATTGATTTATCAGTGCAGTGTATGAGGTATTAATGGAGACATTTTTAACGCTGGATATATTTCATCAAAAACCCAACAGCAAAGAACTGCCTCAGGCTCAACGCATTGCTCATGCAGTCATGCACGAGGGGAGTTTTTTCTTTGTCTTTATTTTCCCGCACTCAATGATATGCAGGCTGTTCTTTATTGATTTGATGTTATTTCGTCGTTTTAATAACCGCCTCCCTCCCGTAGTAAGTTTACTCTTAACAAATGCGCGGAATTCTTGCAATGAATTGCAAGATCAAAAGCCAGGTCTTGATTGTTTGATTGTATTAGTTATTTATACAGTACGCATAACGCGAATAATTGGATTATATTAGTTACATACTGTAAATACGATTGGATAAAATTGAACAAATTGGTGGATTCAAATATAAATGAGATTTTGTATACCCCGACAATCCGGCCGTTGTCTTTAGTTTTGGCAACAACTACGAATAGGAGATTTTTCCTTTGTGACCAGTCACATCGCGACTACTTCCAGCCAGAAATGATAATTATACGTATTTTATGTAATACATGCACTATATTGGAATGGAAAGATAGGAAATGGATTACATTGTGTTTTATTCAGTATATTAGTTTCTTATTTTATTATTATATATTTGTATTATTACTCCATTATTATTACTATATTATTATGCCCTTGTCGTTTGAAATTGGTTGTCGATTAAATCCGTGATTTGCGTCGATGATGGAGCGAGGTTGTCTAAACGCTGCAAAATACCACGAACTGTTGGTCGTTCCTTTGGATCAACTTTTATCATGCTTAGAATTAAATTATTCAGATCCATTGAGTAGTAACTAAAACGCAATTCATATAATTAGTTTCTTAATGGTTGTTCCTCTGATTTCTCTCTGACATAAAAACACACTTCCGGAAAGTACGTCACCTTGGCTATAGAGCCTCGTTTTCATGATTGAGATGTTGGATTTTACTGATGTCACATACACGAAAGCAAGGCTAGCTGTATAGTCAAAGTGACGTATGTACTTTACGGAAGGGTGTATTCACGATAACGAAAAAGATGGCGTCACGCCCTGCATGTTGGTAAATCGTCTGGTTCCGATATTCTATGATATTACTGAGACAGATTTCGACGTGGTCTCAATTTCAACTCAAGATTGAGAGCTAAGGAATTTGATTGTTGTAATAAATTGAAGCTTTTTTAAAATAACCTTACAAACGGCTAAGTTCTGGAAAAACGATAAGGTGTTTGCTATATGAGACAGATTCTATTTAACTCCTCTAATGTTGCGACAAGCATTCACGTTGTTCCAATGACGTGAAAACCTTACTTTAACGTTGTATTCAGAATGACAACGTTGTTGAGGATACCTCTGGGACCGCAAATTATTCAAACTTTTTGTTTTGCATGAAGAATTTCTTTATTTCGAAAGCGCGTCTTTCAGTTCACGTACAGTAATGTTTTCTAAATCAGTACATTGTGTATAGATAGAAGAGTGACAAAAGTTTCATAAATTTCTTTAATTGATAAAAACAAACAGAAAGCAAGAAAACTTGCGAGATCATCAGAAAAACGTCGCACAAAGAAAGAACAAATAAATAGTTTTACTGCATAATTTCAAGTAATACTATCTTTTGGATAGATATCTTTTTGGATAGAAATACTGTACTTTCGAAGTATAAAATCGTTGAATCAATATAATTTTGCTTCTCAAAATTTTTTGCTGTCCACATTCACAATTCCAGGTCTGGTATTTGGGATATTGTCTGGTACTCGGGTTTTCTGATTTCCTTCGGAATTTGCATTTATCTTATTTAATAAATGGTAATACAAATTCCGAAGGACATGCACCTGGGAACATCCCGAATTCCAGAACTAGAGTCGCGGCTGTCGACAACGAAAACTATTCATTGAACGATTTCGAACCAAATTTTTCTGTCCCAAAGATACTTGAATGTATCAGGGTTCGTAGCGGTCTTTGAAATCCTTGAAAGTCTTTAAATTTGAATGCAGGTCTTTAAGGTCTTTGAAAAGTCTTTGAATTGTGTGAAAAAGCGAAGAAGTCCTTAAATTCTTTAGTGAATATTTGATTATACAATTTCCTAGCTAATAAAATAGATTGATTGAAGCAAGATTTTCGCAAATATCGACGAAAAGGCGCATTTTAGGATGTGATTTGACGGGACTAATTACCGGGCAAAAATGGTGCTTACACTCGTAATTTTTCGACAGCTGATTGCTCTCAAAGGTCTTTGAAAAGTCTTTCAAAATAGGCAGAAAAATCTTTGAAAGTCTTTGAATTTTTTTGGTCTTGGAGACTACGAACCCTGTGTATGGTAAAACTGTTGTTCTTTCTTTGTGTGAAATGTTTGTGTAATTCGCAATAGTTTTAACTAACCATGCTCATAACAAAATAACCATGCTCTAAGGACTAAGCAAATTTGTTTATGCATACGTGTGTTATTAAATTTTATTGAATGTTTTAATTGAAAACTTAAATTATTTTTGTTGTTTTTAAGCATTCTTAGACACAAAAAGTTGTTATGTGGACGACAGCAAAGTTATTGTATCTCCGATATTAATTGTTAGTTTTGCTTTCCGTTTGTATAAATCTGAGTATTTTGTGAAAACGTCACTCACTCGTCTATATCTTTACTGTCATAGAATATCTTGAACCGGCATGCAATGCGTGACGCCATCTTTTCCGTTATCGTCAATTAATAATTATTGAGAGATATAACGAAAACAAGTATATGGCCTATTTCAGACATCGATGTTTTCGTGTGCTGAAACTAATGTAGCATTCAAAATACTATTGGATATCACAGTGAAGCACTGTCACATACAATCACATGGTGAACGATCATCCAAATTTAACACACATTCTCATTACAGCACATTTTTGTTCCCGATGTGGTTCACGTAACAGTATACAGTAGGTACAGTTTATAGTAAATGCCTTCATTCGTACAATCCAAATTCCGTTCAATAAACTGTGCCGTTGGACAGTCTTGGTTGAATTGGATTTTCTAAAAAGTACAAATTAAACTGTAATGATTCTGGTGATGGAATATACCTGTCTGATGGAATTCTAATTTGTCCGCTCAAAGCTGCCGTTGCTGAGCCGTTAAAAGGACTACTGCCTAAAAAGAAAAATGCATAATTATTAGTTACCGGCACTTAATCATACATATATCAATGCGTACTTGCAATGAAGCAAGAACCAGTTTTCAATGTTTGTGAATTTATATTAGTGGAATTATTTTGAAATTCGTTAAAATCGTTATTGTCTCTTATTTTGTCTCGAATGGCGATACCTATATATACAACACTATATAAGGGCCATGATGATAAGCAATCCAAAATAAGAACCGTTATAAGATGATCATGTACGAGTTGTGAAGGATCCCCAAACGAACCAACCATGAAATAATTTGTTCATTATATAAGTATAGAAATAACTCCAATCAAAGGGGTTTATCTTTAGCTGCACGCCCATGAACACCTAGTCTACCTTTGAGCCGCTCTTTGTGGCAGGGAGGAAGACTTATATATGAACACTCCGACCATGGTACCAAAAAATGCCTTTGCTTTGGATTTCATTGTCATGTTTTCGTTTCAAAACATTCAAAAATGCGATTGTAACGCCTATTGTTAAAATGTCAATATATTTTTAGCTATTTCAATAATGCTCTGACGCGAAAACGTCGCACGTTTATTGAGCGAGAGGAAGGATCCGTGGTTTTGGTATAATAGACTTCTGGACGAATTACACGTTTTGTGTATTTTTGTGGTACAACTGTTCATCTCGTATTTATATTAGTTGCAGTTAACATGTTAACTGCAACTAATATAAATACGAGATGAACAGTTGTACCACAAAAATACAAAATATTTCGATTTGCCAACCATCTGTAGTGTTTCTTTGCTAAGTGCATGCGTCCAAGTTTATAGTCGTCCAAGTATAGTCGTCCCGTATTTATAATTTATATACTAGACGAATAGACGCCTAAAGGCCGTTTTCCACTTCAACCCTGTCGTACCGAAGCGCAGCATATCTCTTTGTTTCCTGAACAGTAGAGCGGAACTAATGACTTTGACAAAAAGAAAATGCTATAGTAACAATAGGTTACGATACGGTTGAAGTGGAAAACGGCCTAAGACGAGGACTTTGTCAGTCGCCTTAGATACTAAAGACGTCTTCTGACTAATTAAACCCTCGGGGCTAAGTTAAAATGCTATGCTAAATTTCCAACATACCATATGCCATTGCATATAATGTGCAACCGAGAGACCAAACATCACTTTTAGCGTCAATTACACAGTCAGATTGCACATCAAACAACTCTGGGGCCCTATAAGCAGTATCAAGCATATTATATATTAATACATATAGGTGAGACAAAGTTACTGTACCTGCTTATTACAACAATGCAATAGAGGCCTATTCACTATTGCTTTAATCGACACAATGGAATACATTGATAGGGTCGACTGTCGAGTTCAAGAGAGCTAGTTTTATGTGATAATTACGATAAACACTTAAGGCCCTGTTACACGGTGCAATTTTTCATGCAACTTGTCTCGCAATGTTTAAAAAAAGATTTTGATAATGCATTGCAAGAGGTGTTACACGCTGCAATGATTGTCATACAACTCGCAACGATAAGGGACAGAGACATGCGAAGAGACTAGGGAGAGGCGTTATTTGGCGCCAAATTTTAATTATACTGTAGTAAAGCGTGCACTGGGGAGAGCCAATAGGAACTCTCCAAGCTATAAATATTGCGAGACAAGTTGCACGAAGCATGTTACACGCTGCAATGCTAAAAATTAGTGCAATCGTTTCCAAAAGTAGAACCGACTTCTACCCTGTGCAATGCTTCATGCAACTTGTCTCGCAACGATTTTGACCATTGCAAGGCATGTTAAACTGTGCAATGACTCGTGCAACTTGTCTCGCAACGCCATTGCGAGACAAGTTGCATGAAAAATTGCACCGTGTAACAGGGCCTTTAAGCCTGGCGCACACGATGCGATTTTAGTCGGCAGATAAATCGTGTGCGCCAGGCTTTAGCATGCACGTTTAGGGATTCGTGCCTATCCGTGCTTTAAATAATGTGTGTGGGTCTTCTGTACTTGTATCTAATGTATAGTACATACATTTTATGAACAAACTGAGTGTTTTGATGAGCAGTATAGTAAGAATATTTTGTAACATTGAAAATCCAAATTGGAACGAATATTGGAATTCGAAGTGTCGGTAATTTCATGTTCGGCTTTGCTGGTCTTGTCTGAAAGTACACACGAGTGACTTCTGTGTTTAAAAATCATTGATAATAATAAAAACTATTTTAAGGTGGCTCCCAAGGGTTTTTGCATTATACTGCACTATAGTATCCAGAAAACGCCTGTTTTCCCACCTTACATGACATGAAGACGTAATTTTTATTGGACACATTGACAATGCTCTCCTGAACATTGCAATTTGCTATTTTTGTGCTGAAAGTCCGTTACCATGGCAACAGCGTGCTTATGATAAAGCTCAAAATCTGTCTTTCCGACCATTTTAAAAATTCCCTTCAGTAACTTTGCATAAAAGATAATTCTCGTATAATGATTTGTTTTAAGAAACGTACAGTATCGATAGAATGTTTTAAAATTAAGGGGAAAATTCATTATACGAGAATTATCTTTTATGCAAAGTTTTAAAAATATTTATCTAAGGGAATTTTTAAAATGGCCGGAAAAAGACAAATTTCAGTTGAGCTTTATCCTAAGCACGTTGTTGCCATGGTAACGGACTTTCAGCACAAAAGTAGCAAATTGCAATGTTCAGGAGAGCATTATCAATGTGTCCAAAAAATTTCGTCTTCATGTCATGCAAACGTCATGTAAATTTATAACGTCACGTAAACATGTGAAGAAACAGGAGTTCCTGGTATAGTGCAGTATATTGCAAAAACCCTAGGGAGCCACCTTATTTTATGATTTTTAAACACAGAAATCACTCGTGGTCATTCGTTGTTACTCGTGTATACTTTTAGACAAGATCCGGCTTTGTTTATCAATTGTTTTCTAATCCACTACCCAGCTAACGAGTTTAATATTATTATTATTATTATTGAAACGTTTCACAATAAGTATAGCTGAAAGCTAAATTGCAATGTGCATTAACAATTATATATACTATTAGAATACAAAAAGTTTATATTACAGGTGAATTTATAATACAACTATAGCGAACTACTTTATATTTACAACAATCAAATACAGTGTCAGTGGTATAAATTAATCTACAACTGAGAACTGTGCCCTTTAAAAGGGCATAAAAGTATAAGATCGATCCATTGACAAATTATATTTATCTATGGCAAAAATATCTATGGATACCTTTAAACCTTTCCGTCCTACATTTAAAATTAATATATATTATATCTTATCAACATTTAACCTTGTCTCTCTTCCCCTTATTCAGTTGACCGTATAAGGTAACAGGTCATGTAATTTATGTATAGGATCTATCATGTCCTTAACCAGATTTGTAAATATAATTTCTCTACGATTCTCTAAGGTTTTAATGCCACACCGAAATAATGCTTCGTCGTAAGTCATTTCGGGGTAAATTATTCTAAGCGCTCTCCTTTGGATCCTCTTAATATATTGACATTGTTCACAAGTTAGACTGCCATGCCAAACTTGTGCTCCATATTCAAGTACTGATCTAATTACAGATGTATAAAACAAAACGCCTTTAAATTAAGTCCTTTTCTGGTGCCCCATACTGTAGCTTTTAAGAACTTTTAGCAAATATAATCGTTTAGCATGCAGCTTTCTTAACAGTGTGCTCTGTATTTGTGTTCCATTTCAATTTATCATCGACCCATAAGCCAATTAAGTAGCTTAGAGCATGTGACTCTTTCAAGAGTAGTTTCTTTAAATAGTGAATAGCCATTTTTGTCTACGAAAATCTATTATCATTTCTTTACACTTTTTCAAATTTAGTTGCATTCTTTCATTTTCAGCATATAACTTTCACTGCATCGATCTTTTCTTGAGTATAACCTATATTTGTGTCAGAGATATGTGTGTGAACATCTATGACCTCGAACGTTGTGCTATCATCCATAAAAAGTATTAAATCATCGATTACAACGTAATCTTCATTTTCCCTTTCACATGACAACCGTAATTTTAAGGCCTCTTTTATTGCTTCCTGGAGATTATTAATATGTACGACAAAGGCAACTGATCTATTTTACTTCCTTGCGGCACACTTCCATTTATATACTCAAATTCCGACTCTTCATCGCCAAACTTTGTAAAATGAGATCTTTCTTTCAAAAACGTGGGGAACCATTTAACCAAGGCTGGTCTAACACCAATACATGTAAGTCCGATATTGCACATATTTTCTAATAGCGTTGATAGAGCAAATTAACTAAGTACTGATAAACCCAAATACAATTAGGTGATATGCATGAGGTGGTCTTCTCTCATGCAATCTTCACACAATTCTTCAGTTGGCACACTTGACCTTGCCGCCAACTCATGGTTACCAAAACTTGAACGATTAACGAGCTAGGGCATGCAGGTGCTGGGATGGAGCCATCCACCGCCGCCATAGATTCTCTGATATCCGTGTTATTTCAAGATATACAGTACATGAGAATGCTTATAATCATTGCCAATTATGACAGTCAGTGATATACTTTACACCATACACTTTTGCAGTAACTCACCGGTAAGCAGCAGTACATTCCTGTGCACATTTATCTTGAAGAGCAAGAGCTTCATGTCTGAAGAAAGACATTGGCCACAATTACATGCAGTATCTACTGTATATAAACATGAACTTTTTATCTTTAAGGTGGGAATTACAGCACAATCTTTACATACTTTCCATTTCAACCACTCAACCTTATCCATACCATTGATTTTAATTGGGTGCCCTAGACCCCATTTTTAGAAAACATTTAAAGTGCGAAATTGATATGTATTTATTTACACATCTCGAAGGCGGTGACATATTGTAGGCCTATATCAGTTGATAATAAGGATAACTACAAACCTTGAGGTAATGACATGCTCTGCCCTATCAACGCTACCAAGATCCATTAAAATAACGGAGGTCTTCGACAATACTAACAGGTTATGAGGCTAGAAATAGACAAATGTGCAACAGATTATAATGAGGTGTAATATCTTTATAACCAAACTTTCCTCGTGTTGATAAGGACAACCAGGCTGCTGCATGGTAAAATTACAGTCTGAAATTTTACCTGAAGCAATTTATCATAATCTCATTAAATCAACATTGGTTGTATACATATATGTCCAAAACCCTATTGCATGATTTATGGTAGGACGAAGAGTAGTTCACCTTGATGTCTCTGTGCGCTAAAGGTGGGTCGCATTCATGAAATGCCAGAACTGCTTCACATAACGATTTAAACAAGTGTAAGACATCAAGTTCAGGAAGATAGTAACGTCCAAACGCATTCTCAATCATATCTTGAACACTGCCCTCCTAGAACGACATAAAGATGTTATATTCCATGCAAGTACTAAAAACTGCACTTGCAATAAAACAAGTTCTTAGTTACACAACGATTTCAAACATAAAACCGAATCCAATCTTTACTTTTATGTATTGTTAATAATTGTGTCATAATTATACATTTCAGTCACGTTTGTATAATGGATGTCCGGTGTGGGTGTTCAGGAGTTAGGGAAGCGCGTTGATTATTTCGAGAAGCGCCGTAAACTAACGTGAAAGTCCAGGGCAATCAATAAAATTTAATATAATATACATACACAAATCGTGGTTCTTTGATGGGACTAAATAGAGAGGGGGTGTGAATAAATGTGTGAGCCATGATGGTGCACTATATAAAGAACTTACAAAGTTCGTACAATTGTTTTCTAAGTTAAACAATCCCTATCACGGTGTTTATTAGTACCATAATCGTATATAGTACATATACCATGCAACAGTACCTATAAACTAGATCAGTAATGATCGACGCAACTTGTTCAACCTTTATCCCTTTATCGACTTGTATTACGTTTGTTTGTCTGACTTAGAAATCCAAGCTTCCGATATGTGCAATGTTCTGACATTTTGAGGTTTGCCGATCCACGTCTCAAAAATACAGTTCGAGTTAACAGGGTAAATTTGAACAAGAGAAAATGAAATTTGTTCGAGTTAGCGAGGAGTTCGAGTTAAGCGAATTCAAGTTAATCGGAGTAAATCACTGTAAAAATTCGGTCAAATTCAGGGGAAATTGGATTTAGTTCGAGTTACCAGGAAGCTAAGGCGAGTTCGAGTTAGTGGGGTTCTACTGTATTAATATACAAATAATGAATGTTTATTCGTGCAGTGGTAAGAATATTTTCATTCGGTGAAAGATGTGTGCAATGGAATAAAACGAAAAGTACAATTGCACTCGCAAAGAGTGCAATGGAACGTATTCCATTGCACTCTTGGGAAATGGAATTTTCTATTCAATATCACGTGACCATAAACAGCCAATTAAACGATCAGAATTCAATAAGGTATTATATATACAGGATTTACGGTCTTAGTTTTCTGCATGTATTTACGGTCTTAGTATACAGGGTGTATAAAAAAAAGCGCAACCTCGGAATTTCCCAAGAAATCGACATTGTTTTAAAGACAAAAGATTTTAGGCGCCTGGGAATTTAAAATAGCATAACTGTCAAAATTACTGCACACGCGAGTGCATAAAGCAAAATTTATGCATTTATTTAATGCACAACAACAGTAATATGATCTATTAGCAATTCGATTTCAATTCCCAGGGGCCTAAAATCGTTTATGCTTAAGAATTGCAACGTGATTTCTTAGGAAATTCCGAGGTTGCGTTTTTTTTATACACCCTGTATACTGCAGGGTTCGAAGTAGAGAAATAATCAGGGGCGCACATTCAAAAAAAATTTGGGGGGGTGTCCTATTTTCCGGGACCGACTTTTGTAGTATTTGTGTTTGATAAGAAAAGCCAACTATTTTAAGGTGTGCAAAGTACTCGTGAACGGTGAACCGGTGAAAGTTCGGTTTAATTAATGTTACAGTCTTGTTATAAATACAATTAATATAAAATTTAAGAGTTGCATGGACGTATGGTACAGGGCCGTAGGAAACTCTTTTCGATTTGGGAGGGGGGGAGAGGCTGAAAGCGAGGGGGAGGCTGAAAGCGAGGGCCGAGGCTCGAGGAAATTTTTAAATTTAGAGTCCCTGCAATGCCATTTCCTGGACTTTGGGGAAGATTTAACAGAATTCTGATAGTCAGAAAAAAGCGTTTTAGCATGTCGAAATTTACAATTTATAGTAGTACTAAATGGCCGAAAGCGTATTTAATTAACTATTATATGTTGAATAAGTTGCAGGAAAGTGTGGGTAATACCATGGATTGTAAAATAACATGTAGTTTATTATCCATGGTAATATCTTCGTTCTTTGCAGTTTGTCACAGATTAAATGATAAAGGTCTGCATGACATGCGACCCTGTGGTTATTGCACAAAGTCGAGTAACTATGTAAAAAAATAGCATACAGGGGTGTCAAAAAGTAGACCGTTAGAAATTAACCTGTTGTTCTAAATGGAATTTATAGCCAGTATATTAGCCACAAGCCCACAGTATATTATTGAAGAATAGTACATTATTAAAGTCAAGAGCTCAAATATAGACAATAATGGTTCAAAATAAATCTATAGTGCGTGCCCACATGATATTCAACTAAGAGTATTAAATATCTGACAACTCAAATTGCTTAGAAAGTTATAGCAATTAGCAATAGATTTCAGGCAGTCAAATCAGTTTTTAAATAGTTCACCTGCACAGCTTATTTGATCGAAAAATGACAATCGGAATTACTTCACACAAATAAGGCGCTCTGTTTTGGCAGCTCGGCCCAACGATCAACAACAGTGTCTGGGTCCATTATATTGTATCCGTGAGATCCTTTTCATATCCAAGAGTGATTAGATCCCTTAGACTTTTTTCTTTCATCACTGAACGAATGGCAGTCTTAATCAATTTAAGCTTCAAACTCGAAAAGCTGCGTGTTCACTCGATGCGGATGTAATCGGTTATCTAAATGTGTATAAATGCTATACACTGCCACATACCTCGGTAACCTCTCTTCGATTTATTAGAACGTAGACTCCTCAAAAATTGCGGATGGACTCATAGACAGGGATAGAATTCCAAGAGTTTAAATAAACGTTTAGTTTTTCAGAACTTCTGCTCTAAACTTTCGGGAGGTCAAAATTTTTTATGGATTTGCGAGCGCCGAAGGCGCGAGAAAAATTTTGAATTTCTAGGTTCATTAGAACGCTACTTCACGTATTTTAGGACGAGATTGGAAGAAAAGTTACAACCACAAAAAGTCGCCTAATTTTGTTTGATTCCATTTCCAAAATGTCCACTTATTTCTTTTTTCGACACAAAATGATGTCTTTCAGATTTTAGCCGGACCGACTTTTTTTCGTCCCATACAAGTTTCGGGACCGACTTTTTAGATATATTTCACAAAACATGGGGGGGGGGGTGTCACACCCCCTCACACCCCCCCTAATGTGCGCCCCTGGAAATAATATGGCCTGCCAGTCTAAATTTTTTGGCAGGTGAAATAGCCTGCCATTTTTATTCACTGAACTGCCAAAATGGCGATGTCTTAGTGTTTTTAAACTTGTCTATTTTACTACAGTAAACTTGGATTTACATTTCAAATATATACATATTTAGTCAACTAAATGATCTAGTATATATGAGTTGTTGTAAGCAAATAAAATATATCTATAGAATTTCACCTGCCATTTTCTTTTTACTTTGGTAGTTCAAATTTGTTTTCGCCTGCCATTTCTAAAATACGGCCTGCTTTTGGCCATTGGCAGCCCGCTATTTCGAGCCCTGAATTATACTGTATGTAGGCGGATGTAGCTATCTTGTATGTGTAAT